ACCTGAGCCCCCCCACCTGGCTGCCACAAACCCTGAGTCAGTGGCCTGCTGCTGCAGCCACTCTGGAGCCACGCAGCCCTAACGAGGGGGTGGCCATATTGACTCTGGCCACTAGGCTATATTACCCTGAGGTGTAGGGTGGCCAGCTGGACTCAGCCGCAGGGGGATAATGCCCTGCCCTGCCCCCAAAGACAGCAGACTGCCCCAGCCCCGTGCCACACACACGAATACAAACCAGTTCTGCAACTCTGAGGGATCACCGAAAGCGATTCGGTTCTCATGCCGACGTCCCCCTTGTGTGGCCGTTGGCATGCACTGAAATGCGGGTTTCCAACATCCATCTACCCTGGAGCAAAGCCCAGTGGCCCACCCCCCTCGGCGCTGCTTTCCGAGACGCTTTCTCGCGCCCCATGGTGCCACCGGACACACGTCGTGCGTCTCTCCCGGACTCTTCCTCGCCTGAGCAGAATGAAGGGTTGGAAAAGGCTGAGCGACCGCCGGATGGGAAGACAGGACGCTGGGCGAGAGGGAGCCCTGGGGCTCTCACCGCTAGCAGTGCGCCAGCCCTGGGGGGGGCCCGGTTCCTGGGGAAGGAGAAATGCGTAGCAAGTATCCAAAGCGGCACAGGGATTGAGGGGTGAGGGGGTCGCCGGGTGAGTCTGTAACTTTAAAAACAAGTGGCCCTGTGACCCCAGAGGGCCTGTCTGCACTGGGGAGTTATTTCGAAATCACGTGGTAGTGCAGACACAGCCTGAGGGACCACGGGACCACTGGCTGGCTTTAGGCACTGGAGTTCTCTCAGGCTGTCAGCAGAGGGCGCTGGCTTCTCCCCACCAGCCCCGCAGTCAGGTACAGCCCGTGCGAACCCCCCTTTGCCCATTCAATGAGGGGGCGCCCCGGTGGAAGGGGGAGTGACATGCAGGCTCCTCAGGCCCCGTAGCCCTCAGGGGGACAAATGGCTCCGTCCCGGCTCCGCCTCTGGGTCCCTGCAGCGCCCAAAGGGGACCCCACGTTATCCGAATGGAGGCTCCCCCGGTGTGGCTCGGGGAAACAGAGCAGGCTGGGTTTTTCCACATCCCGCCCCCTCAGTGAAGTGGGTGACCAGCCGGGAGGTGGCAGAGCTGAGGACTGGGCCCCCCTCCCAGCTGGCAGACACAGCCCCACAGAGGTCATGAAGGGGAGAGGGCCAAAGGGAAAGAAGGACCCGGCTCGCAGAGCCAGCGGGGAGATGCCAACGCTGGACGTCAGCTGGATGGACAGGGCGGACAGGCCAGTGTGAGAGTCAAGGGCCCAGGGCCCGGCCTCAGTGTGAGCTGGGGCTGTGGGGCAGAGCTAAGGGGAGAGCAGCAGCCAGAGCGGGGCTGGAAGCTGGGGCAGCTGGGAGCTGGAGTACTGGAAGCTGGGGCAGCTGGGAGCTGGAGTACTGGAAGCTGGGGCAGCTGGGAGCTGGAGTACTGGAAGCTGGGGCAGCTGGGAGCTGGAGTACTGGAAGCTGGGGCAGCTGGGAGCTGGAGTACTGGAAGCTGGGGCAGCTGGGAGCTGGAGTACTGGAAGCTGGGGCAGCTGGGAGCTGGAGTACTGGAAGCTGGGGCAGCTGGGAGCTGGAGTACTGGAAGCTGGGGCAGCTGGGAGCTGGAGTACTGGAAGCTGGGGCAGCTGGGAGCTGGAGTACTGGAAGCTGGGGCAGCTGGGAGCTGGAGTACTGGAAGCTGGGGCAGCTGGGAGCTGGAGTACTGGAAGCTGGGGCAGCTGGGAGCTGGAGTACTGGAAGCTGGGGCAGCTGGGAGCTGGAGTACTGGAAGCTGGGGCAGCTGGGAGCTGGAGTACTGGAAGCTGGGGCAGCTGGGAGCTGGAGTACTGGAAGCTGGGGCAGCTGGGAGCTGGAGTACTGGAAGCTGGGGCAGCTGGGAGCTGGAGTACTGGAAGCTGGGGCAGCTGGGAGCTGGAGTACTGGAAGCTGGGGCAGCTGGGAGCTGGAGTACTGGAAGCTGGGGCAGCTGGGAGCTGGAGTACTGGAAGCTGGGGCAGCTGGGAGCTGGAGTACTGGAAGCTGGGGCAGCTGGGAGCTGGAGTACTGGAAGCTGGGGCAGCTGGGAGCTGGAGTACTGGAAGCTGGGGCAGCTGGGAGCTGGAGTACTGGAAGCTGGGGCAGCTGGGAGCTGGAGTACTGGAAGCTGGGGCAGCTGGGAGCTGGAGTACTGGAAGCTGGGGCAGCTGGGAGCTGGAGTACTGGAAGCTGGGGCAGCTGGGAGCTGGAGTACTGGAAGCTGGGGCAGCTGGGAGCTGGAGTACTGGAAGCTGGGGCAGCTGGGAGCTGGAGTACTGGAAGCTGGGGCAGCTGGGAGCTGGAGTACTGGAAGCTGGGGCAGCTGGGAGCTGGAGTACTGGAAGCTGGGGCAGCTGGGAGCTGGAGTACCGGAGATTATTTGGAATACGTGATGTTGGGTTTTATGTTAACGGAGAGGTCACTGGGTCAGGGAAGTGGGCAGTGTGGGAGACTATGCGAGTGGGGACCCCCCAAATGACCACAGCCGGAGTGGGGCTCCAATCCCCCCCGAATACCGGGACCAGCCTTGTTGGGGTTACAAAGACCCTGCCACAGGGGAGGACCGAAGGGGAAACGTGGGGGCAGATCCAGCCCTAGACTGGGGTGGGGCCTGGGAAAACAGTCTCCTCCCCCCCACCCCACCCCACCCCTTCCCCAAGCTCCACCCCTGCTCTATTCCCCGCCCCCCCCGTCACGGCACC